ATATTTTGGTAGGGTGATCAGGGAAAAATGATCCCCACCCCCAGAGAACTACATAAAGCATAGAATGAGCCATGTGTATAACTCACATTCCAGTGGTGATGCTTCCAGACTAAGAACAGACAACAAGGACATTATTAATAGATGTTTGCAGCCGTTTCTTCTCATTGTGAGTTGTGCCTTATCAGCAAATGGAGGTCCCAAAGAATTTATTCCCTTCATATCATCATGTCAACTCTACTTTGAGAAGGCAGTTCTTCCTCAGTCATATTTTGGGTGACTTCAGACCTCAGGGCTCATCTTCTGATATTTATGTGACAGTGCTCTGCTGCTAGTCCTAGAGTTTTTAGTGGCTAGTGCCTCTGGACCCATGTACAGGTTTGTCATGAGCACAACGATGGGTTCTGGATTTCCCCTTCTTCTCAAGGCTATCCATAGTTGTAATGAACCATACAGTCAACTGTCTTTGTGTAGTCAATAAAACACAAATAGACATCTTTCTGATGTTCTCTGCTTTCGGCCACTATCCATCTGACATCAGCAATGATAACCCTTGTTACACATTCCCTTCTGAATCCAACCTGAATTCCTTGCAGCTTTCTGTCAATGTATTTCTGTAACCACTGTTGAACAATCTTCAGCAAAATTTTGCTTGCATATGTTGTCAATGATATTGTTCGATAATTTGTACATTCTGTGGGGCAACTGTTCTGTGGAATGAGTACTAACATGGATCAAGAGGCCATCATTCAAATAGAACAATAAAATACTGCATGGTTTAAAATAAAGGTGTATATGTTAGGGTTATATCTTCTCATTATACTTATCTTTCCCCCCGCCCCCCAATTACGTTACAGTTTATTTAAACTAAGAGAAAAGGTCATAATGTTTTCATGCAATACATACTCAGATCTTAAATAACAGTGATGATAAATAGCAGGAGTAGTTAAGGAATTCTGCACTTGTGATCCATATAAAACACCAACATTCTAGGTTGTACATAATAAGGAAATATCTCAAACACTTTTCAAAATACTGTAATAGTCAATACATAGAGGCATGCCTTTAGGTGGGCATAGGAATGCAGTTTAGAAAAGGGAAGAGAAACAACAAAAACTATTCAATTTCTTTAAAATCAGTGAGCAAGAAAAGCAACATTGAATTTCACATACTGACTTTTCACAACTTCTGTACAGTTCTTTGACTTAAACCCAAGAACAAGACTCTCCTCCTCTATCTTTGGTAAACAACTGCATGATAAACTTGGATGACTTTCCCCCCTGGATCTTACCTTGTAGTAGCCTTTTGATTTTTTATTTAAAAGAAGGCAGGTTTGGCACTTTTATACTGATGTCCCCAATGTTAATATTTCTTGGGATCTCAGGAAGATTGATATTCTTTACAGCTGATACAGCATGGACTGGAGCTCCTGCTAAGCCAGCCTCAGATTTTTCCAGTTTATTTTGTGCATCAATTTTTGTAACACTCTCATTCATGTTGGTCTCTGCCGCCCCTACCCCCCCACCCCCTGTCACCATTTCTGCAAGAATATTGTGAAACTTATCTACATGGAAAATTAAATCCGGTTCACAGATATTTTCAAAACAATTGTCTAATGTTTCCAGAATACTTGAATTAGATCTAAAATGCCAAGTTCACTTTCTGAAGAATCCACACAGAAGACAAAATATAGTGTTGCATAATGCCTATATATCAGTTTTGTTGTCAAATCCTATTAACAATCCTTCTTCTAGGAAATTACAAACATTTTCATCTCTCTAAGATACCAAATGGAAGGCTTCCCTGATGATTTGTTGTTGTGTGTCTTCACTGTAGGGCTGGTAGAACTTGGAAAGCCGCGGCTTCCCGTGGTCGTTGAAGATAAGAATCACCTTGATCATGGCTGGGCCGGGCCGTGGGTGGGCACCCGAGCTTAGCCTTGGGATCCGGCCGGCGTTCCTTCCTCATCTGTCCCCTCCTGCCCTCATTACACTTATTCAATTGGTATAATAATCAGCGAAGCTGAACTATATGGATAATATTGTGGAATAAGTGAGGAGGACTTGAAGCACCTGTTGATGAAGATCAAAAATTGCAACCTTCAGTATGGATTGCAACTCAATATAAAGAAAACAAAAATCCTCACATCTGGACCCATAGGTAGAATCATGATAAATAGAGGGAAAAAATGAAGTTGTAAGGATTTCATCTTTCTTAGATCAACAATCAATGATCGTAGAAGCAACAGTCAAGATATCAAGTGATGGCTTGCATTGGGTAAATCTTCAGTCTGGTCTTTACTTTTAGGTTTCTTTAAAAACCAAAAAACCAAACACTTTTGATCATAGAGAATTGCAAGCACATAAAAAAAGATAGAATATAATGAATAGACCCAGCACTACCTTTTCACAATTATCGACTAACTTATGACCCACTCACTTTCCCATTAAAAAAAAAACGCAAACTCACTGCCATTGAGTCTGACTCATGGCAACCCTAGCCCTGTAATATTTGGCAGCAAATCCCATATATCATTTTATTTAATATGAAAGTAACTCAGTGACTTATTGCTGAAACATAAGGACTTAGATTAAGGCCTGCACGCAAACAAAAAACCTTCTATTATGTCATTATCAAACATAAAAAGCAATTTGTAGGAATCTTGAATTTGCAGTAATGAGTCTATATACGAATCAGGTTAGTTAAGAGAAAAATGTGTTGTACATATAATAAATCTGAGGTCAATATTTAACAAGGAGTAAGATCAAATTTATATTCATCTGACAAAGACGTATTTTTTGCATAGACTAACTGGGCGGGGAAGGAGATGAGTGGGCATTTTTCTGGTAAACTAGACCAAGTGATAATGGGTCCTGTTTGCCTTCAGGAATCTTAAAAGAGGGGGCCCTGGCATGGTGGAACGGGACTGAACCGACCTGGAAGGGAAAATTTTTCTTCTTGTTTGTGGAACCATAGCATCACACCCTCATATAAATGAAGCATGATGGGGGTAGAGTTTATAAGAAATATGAAGGAATGAACAGGTGATTCCTTTAACTCAAGGCCAGGGGTGGATTGACTAGGCTGGGAGGGCTTGGTGGAACTCAAAGCAGTATAAAGGAACAGGGAGTGAAGGTGGCCCAAAGAGAATCCCTTTGAAGGCTAACTTGTGAAGCTTGGTCTTTCCCAACTCTGTGGCAGAAAGGAGCCAACTGACCTGTGCGAGGCATGCTCCCATTCCTAGCTCTAGACTGTTCATCCACAGGCAGTTACTTGAAACTTTAGTAAAATAACTCCTTAATTTCCCTAGAAATTTTCTTTGCATTCAGTGTGGAGAGATGGGAGCAAGCAGAATTTGGACTGGCAGGGAGTGGGGAGAATGGGGAAGTGAAAGAGCAGTCCTGTGACTATCTGTGTAGAGGTCCACCCATCAGTACACAAGGCACAACTTGAGATGTCATGAAGTGCAGTCTCCAATCTCCTGGGAAGATAGTACTCCATCGTTTCCCTCCCAGAATGGAGTCTGACACAGAACTCACAACCATGATCATCCCATTCCCCATGGATTGAGAATTCAGTTCTTCAAGGAACCGAACAAAGACACACACATACACCACCACCACCACCCCCACCCCCCCGGGGGTCAGAATAGAACCGTGCTCCAATGGGCTTGTAATGGCTGAATCAGAACTAAATTGTTGGCCCTTTCTTCGCAGGTAGGCACTTCTGCGGGGGCCAGGACTTCCAACTTTTTAGGCTAACAGTCCAGCCAGGACAGGAACCCTATGTGCACCTCCCAGGGTCGGGCCCTAGGCAGCCCACCTCCAGTGGTCAATAGAGCAGTCTTGAGGTTAGTTAGGTCTACGGTTAGAATTCATTCCTTCAGCCTCTCACCGAGACACAATTTTAGGTATTGTCATGGAATGGCTATGTAAATATTTCCAAAAAACAGTCTTAAAACAAACAATCTTAAAAGTCACCGTTACGTTTCTTAGAAAATGCTAGCAGGAAGCACAACCTTTCATCCTGTTTAAACCCTATAAAAATTTCACTAATTTTTTCTTATTATTTTCTCTTTCTCACAAGAACTGTAACAACCCTGGACAGGGCTTCACAGTAGGAATGATCAGACAGACTTTTCTTCGCCCAAAGACTTCTTGGAACAGAGAGGGGGGATTTGGGGCAAATCTGGTTGCCCACGGGGTGAGTTCCTCACAGGACTGTGAGCTGCGTGCACACAGCAGAAAATGCCCACGACAACGCCGCTCCTGACGGAAGGGTGCGGTTCACGCCCTCCGCGTGAGGGCTCCGCGTTCTCACACCGCCGGAGAGGGGCAGGTCTCTGGCCTCAAGGGCCTGGCGGGCTTCCGGTTTGGGGGTGACGTCACAGGAAGCGAACCCACTGTAGGCTGGGTAGGAAGTCGAATCGAAGGGGAGTGCGACACAGGGCTGGGAAGGCCATTAGCCAGGTCTGCCCCGTCTCCCACGTCTTTGTGTGTGTGTGTGGACACTGGGGGAAAGCACCCGCGTTACAAAAGGTGTCGCAACGCTCTACAGTCACCAAAGCCTCTGCTGCTCCCTCCTCGGCCCGCGTGGAGTCACCGGCTTCTGGAGCCCCGAGGGCGGGAGGAAGGAGACTGACACCAGGCCGGCCTCTGTAGGCGCTGACACCGCCTAGCGGCGGAGCCGGCGCCGTTTACTGAGCGCACGCGCGCTACGCCCGCCAACCCACCTGCAAGCCCGCCTCTGCCCAGGCTTTCCAACCAGGGGAAAGGGCAGTTGGGAAGGGCCCGAGAGGAATATGGGTGGAGACCTGGCCGCTTGAGAGGCTTCTATTGGCTCGTCTTACTCCGCCCCCGATTCCGATTGGCCGAAGGTCGAGCGCACGGGCGGAGCACGCTCCAGGGCGCTGCGCGGCGTTCGGCCGGCCACTGCGGCGCAGCCAATGGGAACGGCCGGCTGAGCGGGGCCGTCCCGGCGCAGGGTCTCCCGGGCGCGTGGGAGTTGGTAAACAGATCTGGAACGCGTGCCTGCCGCCAGCACTGCTGAGGGCGCGCAGGGGCGGCGCGAAGGTGACCGTGCATTTCAGAGTCTTGCAGCGGGGTAAGATCGCTGCCCGTGGGTCTGTCGCGAATTCGGGGCGCCGCCTGGCTGTGGCCCAATCAGGGCCCACCACACACAGGGCCCTTCTTGCATTCTCTTCAACTGACAGTGTGGCTTCTCCTGGGGGAGTTTCTATTGCCTTCAGCTCAGGGGCCGTGGGCGCACCTCAGGATGCAGGGTGGGGGCTTCCGGCACTACCTCCGTGCCAACCTCAACCTGGCCAGGCCAACCTGGAGGAAAAAGCTTGGCCCGTGTGGTGCCGAGCTTTGGTTCCTTGGGAACTTCGAGGCAGCCCGGTGACCTGCCGCTCCAAAGTCCATGCTTCTTGGTCTCTAATAGAACTTTTCCTGCCTCCTGGCCCTGGATAATGGTTCTCTTCTCTCCCGGACCATGAGCAACTTTTCACTCTGACTTGGGCTCTAACTGCGCAGGCTGCAGATTAGTGCTTCAGTTTTGCTCTCTTGACCCGAGACAGCTGTTGAGTTTCACAGGTGCAGGTTTGGGGCGAACTTGGAACACGCGGTCTTTCTTGGGCTTCGCTTTCGCTTTTTTCCTTCTTCTTCCCCTCCCTTTTGGTCCGTTTTGCCGCATCTCCAAGCATTGGAGGTTTTGAGAGTGCTCTGGGCTTACCTCAAACCTTGGCTTCTCCTGGTGCACAGTGGCCACAGCCTCTTTTGCCAAACCCAGGGTCACTTCTCCGTGTGCTTGGGTTTCCCGGAGGGAATGCTGCAGGGATAGGTCTGCGTGCTGATAACCTTTATTTTAGATGAAAACCTCCTGAAGAATGAGGTTGCGTGCACCTTCCTGGCCAGGGTCAAGCCTGCAGCTCACTGGAACACCATGCTCACTTGGGCCTTGGTGACAGAGGCCTGAGGACATGCCAAGCGACCTCCTTGCCAAAGGGTTTGAGCTTGCTTTGCTGCCAGTCAGCATGCGGTAGCTGGTGACTCCAGGAGCAGCATCTTTAAGACTCAAGCAATGTGCCTTTATGTTCAGCCTGGTATCTAATGCAGACCATGTAAGATTGTTGTAATTGTCAGGCTGACCTCAGGCGATTCAAAGGAAAAGTGAACCAGGTGTCAGTACTCTCTATGATTTGTGTTTAGATGGAATTTCTCAACCTCAGGACTGCTGACTGTTGATTGTTATAGGGGACTGTCATGTGTGTTGTATGGTGTGTAGCATCATCCTTGGCCTCTACTTACTGAGCACCTTCCTCTGTGATGTGTTCATCAAAAAATGCCTCCAGATCCTGCTGAATGTAAGACTCAAAAGAGGGCCTTTTTGTGTGCTTCAAGGGTCCTTTTGGGGACTTGCTTATGAGTAGTTAGGTTTAGGCAGAAGGGCACTGTTGTCCCCTGCCCCAAACAAATAGTAGATGTCACAGAGGTTGGACTTTAAAGGTAACTCCCACCTGCCAGTGGAGACTAGGAGTCTGAACCCTGTAGACATTTATTGTGCCTTCTAGGTGCATGGCAGTGATTGGCTGGGTCCAGAGGCTAAAAGAAGTGGGAGATTGCTGGGTTTTGCATTTGGGATCCCTGGAAAACTTTGGGATCTATTCATATAAAACAATTTTGAGGTGATTTTTGTTGTTGTTTAAAGGACCAAGCAAACAACTTGAAGTTACCAGGTTTTGGCAGGAAGATTTTATCTTCATGTTTTGCTCAGGCATTTCTTGTGCAGTGTGATTCGAAGGAGAAAGTGTCTGCCTGCATTTTACGTATTCTTGAATGTCTTTACATGTGTTGCCTGCCTCTTGTATTAAATCAACTATTTGAGGGGTAATGGTGCACTATGGCCTGTGTATCATTTGCCCATTTGTTTTGTAGTTGGTCAAAGCAGGTTCATAAAGATAGTGTGCCATTTCTTTTCATGCAGAGAAAGATGCTTTCCTTCTGAGTCCAGATTTTGCCCGGAATTTATGCCACAATCAAGTCCTAAACTGATAGGGACTTGGAAAAGTGAAAAATAGTGATACGTGTGTGAGGCCTGTGCAAGGGAAACATTCCAAGCCTGTCCCGTGAAGCTCCTTTTCAGGTTTTAATTGTCGCCATGGCGAGGTAGCAGGACTTTCCTGTAACACTCTTTGGTCAGTTGCAGGGCATTCGGGGTGCCCTCTGTTGCTTTCAGAAAAGGCTCAGGACAGGGAGGCCATCTCACAAAGAGGAACTCAAAGAAGTCTTAGGAAACTCCAAATTTAGTAGGATGAGTTTCCATGAAGAGCCATGGATCCTGAGTCATTGTCTTTGTCAGTTGAAACCAGAGCTGTGTGCAAAATTAGACAGGAATATTTAGATAGAGAGTTGTCTTGATTTGACAGTACTGTCTGGAAATAGTTCTGGCATTCCTGGTGAACAACCGCCAGGACCTTGGGAGAGCCAGTGTTTAAGGAGAGCTGGCGGTCGGGTGGGGGCTGCTCAGGTCTCCCTGCTCCTTCGGGAATTGTGCAGATGGGAGGGCTGCAGTCCTGCTGACCCTGTGGCAGGGCCAGGGCATGGAGTGAAGTGCATGTGAGGAGGAGTTTGTCTGGGTACCTTGTGCACCCCAGGGGTCCACTGGTGTGCCCACTGCATGTTGTTTGTTGTGGAGTCACAAGCCTGTTGCTTAGCTTGACCTCAGCCTTTGAGGTCAGGAGATCACACAATATTGATACGGAGTACTTGAGTCCAGGCCCAATGTCCATCTGCAACCTTACTTCGTAACATACAGATAAGAGTACATAGTTCTGTACCCCTCTTGTTATATATATATATTTACATGTGTACATGCCTATATTTAGACCTCTCTAGCAGTCTGGCATTCTGTGATGCTCACCTTCCTGACATGATTGCTGAAGACAAAATGGGTGCATAAGCAAATGTGGTGAAGAAAGTTGATGGTGCCCAACTATCAAAAGATATAGCATCTGGGGTCTTAAAGACTTGAAGATAAACAAGCGGCCATCTAGCTTAGAAGCAACAAAGCCCACATGGAAGAAGCACACCAGCCTGTGTGATCATGAAGTGTTGATGGGATCAGGTATCAGGCATTTAAGACCTCGAACAAACTCATACTAAGGGTGAATAGGGTGGAGGGGCATGGAGTGGAGACCCAGTGCCCATCTGTAGACAATTGGACATCCCCTCACAGAGGTGTCACAGGGAAGAGATGAACAGGTCAGGGTGCAGTATAGCACTGATGAAACACACAATTTCCCTCTAGTTCTTTGGTGCTTCCTTCCCCCCATTATTATGACCTCAATTCTACCTTACAAATCGGATGAGACCAGAACATGCACACTGCTACAGACAAGAGCCCACAACACAGGGAATCCAGGATAGATAAACCCCTCAGGGCCAACAATGAGAGTAGAGATACCAGAAGGATTAGGGGAGTGTTGGGGGAGAAAGGGGGAATCGATCACAAAGATCAACCTAGAACCCCCTCCCAGGGTGGGGACAAACAAAGGAAAAGTGGGTGAGGGACAACGGAGAATGGTGTAAGATATGAAAATAATAACCTATGACTTATCAAGGGTTCGTGAGGGAGGGGGGGAGCGGGGAGGGAAGGGGAAGAAATGGGGAGCTGACACCGGGCTCAAGTTGGAAGAGAATTCTTTGAAAATGATGATGACAGCATATGTGTAAATGCGTTTGACACACTAGATAAATGTATGGATTGTGATAAGAGATGTAAGAGCCCCCAATAAAAGTATTTAATATATAAAAAAGGAATATTGATATGGAAATGGAGCCTGGAAATTTCTTTGATCTTCATCCTTAGGTGTAATTTCTTTTCAGTGGGTACATATTTAGAAAGATTCATGAAAGTGTTCCTCAGTGTTTTGCAGTCAAACCGCCAACATCAAATTGCAGAATCAGTTATAATATAGTGACTGATCTCTTGTTCTGAGAACAAGCCTTGGGAAATACAAATTTAGGGCAATCAAAATATCTGTAATGAAACTTTTGCCAGCTCGACGATTTTGCCACATTCCGTTTCATGATAATAGTACATTCCTCATGGTACATAACTGTCACCATTCTCCTCTTCCAAAATATTCAGCACCCTAAACAGAAACTAGTGCCCGCTAAGCAGAGACTCCCCACTGTTGACTTGCTTTTTGTTCATCCCACCCCTCCTTCATCTGCTTTGTTGAAAATGCAGGAGAGGTAGTCTCCACTGGGGGAGAGGGTTTGAACTTGGTCCAGACCTGGAAAATCCCTGGTGTTCTGAGCGGGTGGGTAGGGCCTTCCAGCTTCTGGTTCTGAAGAAAAGTCTGTTTTGGAATCATGAGTGGATCTGGTGATTTACATCCCACTGAATAAATACTGATTACCTGTCTGCTTTGAGGAACCCTGGTGGCATAGGGATTGCATGTTGGGCAGCAATCTTAGGGTCAGCAGTTCACAACTACCAACCACTCTGAGGGAGAAAGATGAGGCTTTCTAGTCCCGTGAAGAGTTAACAGTCTCGGAAACCAACCGGCGCATTTTACCCTGTCCTGTAGAGTCACCTTGAGTCGACATTAACTCGATGGCAGGGAGGTGGTTTTGTTTTTAGTTTATCTGCCTTGATCATGACATTGTGAGGTCTATAAAAGTGCCTACGACCAGCTCCCTGACCTTCGAGAACTTAAAGCATGGCTTACAGGGATGGCCTCCTTGTTGTGTGGATTAGGGGCTCTGGGGAACTGAAAGGTGGGCCTCTGAGAATAAGCAGTTTCAGCAGCAGGGCTGTGTGGGGCAGTGCTTTTCGAAGATCTGTGATGAAAGAACAAGTGTTATTCCCTGCCCCCTTGTTTGCCTTTGAAAAACAATGTAAAGTCATGACAATACAAACTTGCTATGAAAGTCAGCACTTCTAGAATCTCATTGCTGACTACATTATCTGTCTGTGAACCCCTCGTAGAATAGCCTTGGTGTAGGCAGTGGCTCCCCGAGCAGTGGGGCAGGGTAGGGAGCACAAGGGGTGTGAGGGGCTGGGCCAGGGACAGATTGGTGAGTCTTCCACTTTAG